TGATCCGAAACATCAGTTTTTATAATACCTTTTTTGAGTGTAATATTGAAATAGTCATTGGTAAGAACGTTGTCAATTAAGGAGGATGAAGACTTTGTAATTCTAGTAGGTTTATTTATAATGGGTATTGTTCCCGTTTCAAATAAATGATTATAAAACTTTGTTATATATATTTTTTCATTATACTGGAAGCAGTCTAGGTTGAAATCCCCAAGTATATAATTTTTTTTCTTTTCTTGGCTAGTTTTTTCTATTATATTATGAACTAGATAATTGCTTAGGCACTGAGTTCTTCCGGTTGGTGGCCGATAACAGCAGCTTAGTAAAATATTTTTAGATTTTTTATTTATTATTTCAACCGTTAAAATCTCAATATTATCATCAGAAACACTCATATTGCTTCGAATATCGAATATCGAATCGACATTAGGTCTGAAGTTAAATAAAAAAAGAGTATTTTTGCTCAAGAAAAAATGAAATTTTTTGGTATTGAAATATCTAAAAATTAATCCCGATCCAAACAAAGTAGAAACTATGAAGAATGCAAGATCACCAACAACGGTCAGTTAGCTTTGAAGTTTTCTTGGTTTATGCACATATGCATCAAGATTTATTAAAGACTTTAGTGAAAAAACAACAGTACTACGGGAACTATTAAAGAAAAATTCAAAATTTAAGTGGAAAAAAAACATAATGACATTTTCAACGTGCTTAAACGTGAATTATCAATTGAATCCGTTTTGGCTTTTTATGATCCGCGCAAAGAAGTACAATTAATTACTGATGCTTGTAATCTTGCCATGGGTGAAATAATTTTACAAAAAGAAGGATTAAACCAATCTGCTACATAAATAGATCATTAACCACAGCCGAGTTAAAATATAGTATTACAGAATAGGAAGCTCTTGCCTTGGTATGGGCTATTGAAAAGTTACATTTGTATTTATATGGAAAATATTTTAAGGTCATAGTGGACCACAAACCTCTCAAGTTCATTTTTTCTTCTGGTTCTAAATTAAATGCACGTATTTCAAGATGGCAAATCAAATTACAGGCATACGATTTCGATGTAATATATCAGAAATAAGAAGAGAACATTGCAGATTTTATTTCTAGAAATTGTACTCTAAATAAAATACATAGTGAGTCAGATGAAAATAAAGTTGCAGCATATGTAAATTTCTTAGTAACAAAAATGACATCCAAATCAATATCACTTAAAGATATAAAAACGGAGACAGCAAAAGACATCAGTTTAATTACAGTAAAAACAGCGCTGTTGTCGGGTAAATGGCATGACAATCCAATACTTGAACCGTATCGTAAATTTCAAAATGAGTTAACTAATCACAAAGGAATCATATAACGAGAAGAAAAAATTGTTCTAACAAAGACGCTTCAAAAAAGAGCTTTAAAAATTGTGCATAAAGGACATTCAGACATTCAAGTGTTGAAAAATGCAAAGGCTTATTGCGACAAAAAGTTTACTGGGTCACTATGAATACCGATATAGAAGCATATTTTGAAAAGTGTTTGAGATGTCAAGCAAATTCACGTGTTCCAAATCCTGAACCAATAAAAATGTCGAATTTACCAGAACATGTTTGGGATGAGTTAGCAATGGATTTTTTGGACCATTACCGTCAGGAGAGTATTTATTTGTTATAGAAAATTTATATTCAAGATATCCATTTGTTAATATAATGAAATCACAACAGCTTCAAGCGTCATAAGTAAACTAGAAAGATTATTTGCTATATTTGGTTATCCTAACAAAATTAGAAGTTGAACAGACCACCGTTTCAAAGCGAAGAATTAAAACTATACTTTAAAAATGTTGACATAAGGCACATTAAAATAACGCCTCGATATCCGCAAGCGAACGGAATCGTAGAAAAATTTATCCAAGTTATAGGAAAAACAATTAAAACAACTCATTTTATGGGAAAAAATTGGAGAGAGGAACTTCAAAGCATGCTTCAAAATTATAGATGCGCACCTCATGCTATAACTGGCAAACCACCAGCTACATTATTATTCAATAGAAATATCAAAAATAAGTTTCCTTCAATAATAATTGAAAAATCACCCTTTGACAAAGAAGTGAGAGAACGTCAAGATAAAAAGTATAAGAAAGTACAAAAATATTTTGATATGAAACATTATGCAAAGAAGAGAGATGACATTAAAGTAGGAGATCAGATTCATGTTAAACGCCATAAACCGTGAGGAAAATTAGACTCAAAATCTTTAAACAAGAAATAATTAGTTAAAGAAAGCAAAATTTAATCATTGTAGTCGATAAAGAAGTAAACGAGTTGGCGCGTAATATACAATTCATAAAAAAACTCCTAAAACCTGAAGCTGGAAGTATACAACGTGAAGCCCCAGTAAATGATAACGAAAGAAAAATAGTTGAAACAAAATCATATCCAAAGCGAATTAATAGACCTATAAAGTTTTACTATTTAACATTTTTAAAGACAATTTATTTCATTGAGTAATAATAGAAACTTTCCGGAACAGGGGGAACTGTTGAGAGTTGGAAACGAAATACATAAAATTATGATTGGTAAGAGTGCGTTCATGTGGAACGCATTAAAACTTGTGTATTAGGAAGATATTGTAGGGAGTTATGGTTGTTTATATAATACTAGTTGTAAATATGTATGTTATTATAATAAATCTTTAATACAAATAAAATAAGAGTTAGTAGTTATATATTTAAAATAGTGAACACAACAAAAACTTTCTATCAAAAGACATGGATGCCTTTTGATAACCATATGGTGATACCAATATTTGGTATCACTGTCTTTGAATTGAGAAAACAGTTTTAATATTGGTAACGAAACTTAACGAATAAAAATGAATATATAAAAATGTTTACTGGTTGATATTTTGAGTTAGAATACCATGCAGAGGTTACTTTTTTTTTAGCTCTGAGCTGGATTTGAACTCGTGTTGCACAAAAGTACAGGTTTTTTGAATCTCAGTGAATGGAAGAGAGCGTGGGTGAACTAAATGATTTTTTAACGCCATCTGAAATTTGTCAAATTTTAATGCCTGATCATCTTGCGCAAGCAAAATTTTTGATAAAAAGAAAGAAAGTGTTATTACTAGAACTTACTTTAACCACTAAGCCATTTAAGGAAACTTTAGGAAAATGTCTTAATTTTTACTTCTGTCTTGTCATGCATTTTCTTTCTTTTTATTACAAATTTTTTCTTCAACATCAAATGCTGGCAGTACTTTAGAACTTTCTTCTTTTATATATATATATATATATATATATATATATATATATATATATATATATATATATATATATATATATATATATATATATATTTTTTCTTGAACTCTCTTTTTGATTTTTTGTGTTTCTATTTGCTCCTATCTTTTTAATTTTAATGTATAACTTTTGTCTAATGGACCCAAAAATCACCTTTTTAGTTGAGAAAAAAAACTAAATCAGAGATGTTGATGTCACGGGAGAAGTCTTTTCTTATCAAACCTTCTGCATTTGATGCTGCAATATCAAACAAAGAATATCAAACAAAGGTTTATTAGTAAAATTTAGAAGTTAAGCCGTATAAATTATCTTGACATTTTTTAATCAAATTCTTTCTAAGCAGCAACAACTGCCCACTGATCGTTCTGCTTATTTTAGTTTATAGAATAAAAAATGTTAAATAAATTCTTCAAATCGGATCCTAAAAATTGGGGTTTGAAATTAGAAAATAGCTATACTTTTCCAATAAAACCGTACGTTTTTGCAACTTTTAAAGAAGCCTCAATGTTTTTAAACAACAGAGCAATATTAAATTATATTTAATATTGCTGTTTTTTTAGATTATTAAAGCTTCTTTAAAAAAGAAAGCTTGCTGATGAACCAACTGTTGGAGAAACATGTTTTTGAAGAAAAAAAATTAAATTAATGTTTTTACTAATATATATATACATACATACAAATATACATATATATATATATGAGCCTTTTATTTTGAAAATGGCATAATTCATCTTTTCAAAAAAAAAAAAAAAATCAAGTTGATGATAACAGTGATTACAATGTAACGGGTTATCTCTTCATTTGTGAAGCCAATATGAAAGTGGAAAATTTGCGAGTTTCACAAATGAGGAGATACCATTATATTCTATACGTATATATAATACGAGTATATATTTATTAATTCTTTTTTAATAATTTTTTGAACCACTCGGTTGATAAAGCAAATTAGCGAGTTTTTATTGAAGGTAAAGTTGTATTATATTTTTAGGATTTAGCAAGTAAAGAGTTAAATAATGACATTGAAAACCTCTCTGCATGCCCCGTCTAATTTCGAGCTTGTACCAAAAATTTATATATATATCTCGGTCAGTTTATTTACCATGTTTCTTTTATACTTTAAAAACATTTAAAATATTAATAACCTTGCAACACTTACTTTTTAAGTTATAGTTCTTACTAAAATATCGATAAGCATAAAACTTGTTATCCAATTGTAAATAGTTGATAAGATATTAGAGCTGTTTAAATTGCCCTATAAGGAAAGTTCCGAAAGCGCAAATCGACGAGGCCTTTTTTTTATGCTCATCCTAAGTCTCCTTTCTCTATGCCTAAATTCAGCTTAATGCTACTTAGCATTATGTAATTCTCACCAACTAGTATAAAAGGTGACATATTTACATCATGTAAAATACAACGTATCATACAAAAATTAGGGAAAGTATTTACAACAAATAATTAATTTTTTGCGTATATATATATATATATATATATATATATATATATATATATATATATATATATATATATATATATATATATGTATATATAGTATTTTTTTTTTAATTGTTCGAAGAAAAGATTGATAACCTATTTTTACACAGGACAAAAAAAAAATGTAAGAATAATAAAATCTTGAGATTATTAAAAAATGTTAAAATTTACTTGACCGAAAGCTTTGAAACCAGAAAAATAAAAAATTATTTACTTAACTTTTGAAAAATAATTTTATTTCACAAATTTCAAAAACAACTAAAATATGAAAATTGATTAGAAAAACCAATAAGTGGATTGTTCATGAGATCATTTTGCACTAAAAGTTAGGTAGAAATCATTCAGTCCATAACTGTCTGCATATGTCCAAAGATCGAAATCATCATGAAAAATACTCATAGTGATAGCATATAACCTATAACCATATAATGTATAACTATAGTACAGTATAATTAGAAAAAATATATATATATACAAGGCCGGCGCGAAGGGGGTGTGGGGGTGTGTGACCCCCCTTCCTCATCAATGATTTTTAGTCGGTAAATTTGAGCCTTAGTCGGAAAATTTGACCCTTTTCGACTAGTTAGTTGGCAAATGTCGACCCTTTCGATATAGGTTAGTCAAATTTTCGAAAACGAGGACCTTTTTTTTTTAAGTCGGCAAATATTGTAATGGCACCCCCCACGTGACACCTACTCGCGCCGGCCCTGTATATATATATATATATATATATATATATATATATATATATATATATATATATATATATATATATATATATATATATATATATATATATATATATATAATATATATATATATATATATATATATAATATATATATATATATATATATATATATATTTATATATATATATATATATATATATATATAATATATATATATATATATATATATATATATATATATATATATATATATATATAATATATAATATATATATATATATATATATATATATATATATATATATTTATATATATATATATATATATATATATATATATATATATATATATATATATATATATATATATATATATATATATATATATATATATATATATATATATATATATATATATATATATATATATATATATATATATATATATATATATATATATATATATATATATATATATATATATATATATATATATATATAACTTAAACAAAACAGATATTTAAAAACGTAAAATATAAAACTAGCTGAGAACGATTAAATGATTTTAACATAGTCAAATCGTCAAAACAAAAAATAATGGCAATTAATTAAATATTTAATTTGATCGCTTTTTTTTGTTTAAAAACGTTGGTTGAGACGTTAAAAATAAAAATCAATTAAGGTAACGCTGAAATAAAAAATGAAACATGCAAATGTGTATACATATTTTACCTTTTCTTACTAATTTATGTATTTAAACTATGTTATATAATTATATTAATTTATATATGTTATATAATTATATTAATTATATAATTAACTTAGCTGAAATACGATTTAAAAAGAAGATTAAAAAAGCATATTTTTTGTCAGCAAACCTGTTGTATAAAAAAATTTTATACCACCTTTAAATAATGTATAAAAAGATGAATCTTAATAATTTATTCCTATATTTGTATAGTTGATTTAGTCGACTTTCTATTTTTTATCATCATATCATTTAAATAATAATGGAACACAACAACACTAGTCGATAATATTCATTCTTTTCAAAAAATGAATATTATTGACTAGTGTTGTTACGACTTTTAAATATTTCGACTGTCGACTCAAATCGACTAATGCATTTTTAAAATAGACCAAGTCAACTAAATTAACTATAGAAATATAGGAATAAATCATTTTTTTTGAAATAAATTGTAATAAAAATAATAAAGTACTTTATATTCGATTTCTATTTTTTTAACATCATATCATTTGAATAATAATGGAACAAAACAATGAGAGAAGGGCCGCTCCGGCAACGGGACAATTTATTCCCAGACTCCAATGATTTAGACCAAAATAAAATGTTTTTTTATACTTTCAATAAAATTTTCGACATTTGGATTGCATTTCAATTTTAAGCAGTTCTTTTAAGTTTTCCTTTTTTATTAAGTATATTTTTTAATGAATTTATTAACTTGTACTTAAAAAATTAAAGTCATCTGTTGTTTTTACTTTTTTGGGGCGTTTGTTTTTTAATTATTATTTTTTAATTTTTGGCCGTCTGCTTTTGGAGTGTTTTTCTGGTTTTTTCCAATAGTATGATAATTTTTAACTTATGTTCCCTTTAGTGGCTGTTTTTGTAGGACAACCGCCTCAAATTTGTCTTGTTCCTGTTTCACCTCGTTCAGCACATTTAATAAGTTTGTAAACTATTGATTTGGGAATATTTTCATTAAGAAAATATTTTCATATACATGTTATTAACCATCAAGAAAATATTTCAAGTTGGAAGACATACACTCTTAACTTTAAAATAGTTAAGTGGCAGTTTCCAGCTAAAAAAACAGATTTTAGAATGAAAAAACTATTTTTAGGTTCTTTGATGTGAATTTTTTAATTCCAAGTGAACCATTAAGAGTTATGAACTCTGCCAGAGTTGATGCAACTTTTTTAAGAACAAACAGTTATTTGCGGACGTTTGGGAATGTAAGTATTTGTAATCTATAAATGAGTTTGTACTGATTCTTTTGATTTTTTCAATACACCCCTTATGGGAAGATTTTTTGGGCATTGTATTAAGTCTCCTCCAATGCTTTTGTAATGATTGCTAAATTAACAATTCCCTATGGACAATTATTAAAGTTTTGTAAATTTCTATTTGCACAATCATTAATGATAAAAACACCATAATTCCCTTGTAGATTAATTCCGCACAAAGGAATTCTTGAGTGAATGTATATAAAAGTCATTGCGCCAAATTAAAGAGTAGTACTAGAGAAAACAAAAAAGAGTTTAACGCTTTTAACAAGTTTTAAATTTTATCGTTATTTGTATCACAGCTGATCAAAAGATGACAAGAAACTATAAAAGAAAAACATTCTAATCTGAAAAGTTATAATAAGCAGTAAAAGATGTCCAAACAAATAATTTGAACATCAGAAAGAGTGTTCTAAATACAGTGTTAATCAAGACTCCATATCAAAAAGACTAAACATCATAATATTGATTTAATAGCTGTTGGTGTAATAACTAATTTCAAGAAAACCCAAGTTTTTTCTTCGGTTATGGAAGTTTTTTCTTTGGTTATGGAAGCAAGATGAATATTTATTTAAATGCTCATCAATGTTCCATGGTCTAACACCAAAAGCTACAAGACGTTTAGCCTTTGATTATGCCAAGAGAAATTGCATAAAATATCCAAGAAAATGAAAGGAAGGAAAATCTACAGAATCTGATTGACTCTTGTCATTCATGAAACATCACCCTAGCTTATTAATATGATCACCTGAAGTTACGAGTCTTGCTCGAATGACCAGTTTCAATAGTGTAACTGTAGCAGATTTTCAAAATAAATTCATGATTTTATAACATAGTAGAATTTCACACCATCTCAAATTTACAAACTGGATTAAACTGAGGTAACCATAGTGCAGCCTGTTTCTAAAGTCATAGCTCATAAAGGGCAGCACTAAGTCAGTCAAATGACATCACAAAATAAAGGAGAATTAGTAACACATACAGAAAGCATAAGTGCAGCTGGTCATGCCTTACCACCTGTTTCTTGCCACCACTTTGATAAAAGAAAAATTATGCAAGGTATTCCAGACTTTGCAGGACTTGGTTTGGTTAATCCTTCCAGGCAGATGACACGCGAGAATTTTGTTAAGGTGTTTAAATATTTTTCTCATAATGTCCGTTCTGCACAAAACAAGGTCTTATTGATCATAAACAACCATGAGTCCCATTTACCTGTAGTCTGAATTACAGCAAGGATATTTTATGGAATTGTCATCCTTATACTATCACCACATACACTAAATAAACTGCAACCATTAGAAAGAACTGTATTTGGGCCATTTAAGCATTTTTACAATAGCAGTATGGATTCATCAATGTTATCACACATCCATGAATCTAGACCGCTCTGGATTCATTGATGTTTATCTGGTCAAACTGTTAGCATTTATGATATCCCACAAATTTATCTCTAAGCTTGGGATAGAGCTGCTACTTCTACAAATATAAAATCTAGATTTAGATGCACTGGTATTTGGCCTTTTGATAAAACTATATTTATGGATGAATACTTATTTTATGTGACAAATCAAAAACTGTTCAATCAAATAACCTTATAACATCTTATAACAGAGTTGATCAATGTGTATCATTTACACTAATTGGACAACGTAAGGGTAGATCTATAATTCAAATATTCCACAGAAAAAGAATGGTGAAGATGGCAGAATGGCGAAGAAGCTTAAAAAAAAGACAATCAAGAAACGATTCTACAGAAAACAACCTCTAAAAAAGCAATCCTTAGAGAATTGTCGTCAGATGAATTAATAGACCTACAAATTTCAATGATTGACAGTACATATAACCTTAATGACGATGGATTCAATGACAGCGATGCTGATAGTTTTGATATGCAAGAAGTAAAATTTATCAATTAAATTAAATATAAATTAAAAATAAATCATTCATTAACTATTAATAAACTATCGAGTTTCCATGGTCTTCCCTATAAAAATATCATTCAAAAAATTTATCTAATATTTTTCATAATTTATATAAAAACAAAGTTATGATGCTTAAAAATAAAATTTTATGTTTAAGATGTTTTTTCTTAAAAAAAAAAACAGTTTTCAAACTCAGGTATTTTTCATTCAAAAATCACTCACAGCATCTTGACTCAATCTCCAAGCCCTTATGTTTATGTTTACAATAATGTCTTCATCAATATATTTTCATATTGTTTATGCTAATTAATTGTTAATTTAAGATTATTAAGATAAAAATGAACATTTGAAACATGTGGAAATCAACATTTTATTGGTTTATGTTGTGCTACGTAATTTCAAATATAATGTAACAAAATGTAGCTAACAATAGAAACATGAAAATTTTTATCTCCTTACTTTAAAACTTTGTATATTAACCTAATTGTATACCCTTTTTCATAATATTACTCACTGCTATATATATATATATATATATATATATATATATATATATATATATATATATATATATATATATATATATATATATATATATATATACATAGAGAGAGAGAGAAATATTGAAAGATTATAAAAAATATATTATTATACTATAATAATTTTTGATTGTAATATATAAATTTTCCATTATAATTAAAATTATTATTGCATGGTAAATAAATAATTAAAGTAAATTATAAGTAAAGTAACACCTTGAATAAAATAACTAAATTTTTTTTTCAGCATCATAAAGCAACCCTTTGTAACATTCACTCAGTTGATGAACAGGAATATCCACATACATACATTTGCCAAGTGCATTAGCATCTAACCAAAATGATTGATCATTTAATCTTATAAAAACAAATACATACAATTATATAATATATATTTTAGGGTGCATCAAAAAACAATAAATTTAAAAAATTACCTTGTTTTAAATTTGTTCTTTATAACAAAATAAAATTAGATTGAAAATTTTTTTAAACAAAAATATTTTTAGAGGTGCCTTAAGACTCTTGAGCATTTAAAAGGTCCCTAATATATATGTATAAAAAGTTCTTCAAAAGTAAGTCAACCAGGAACTCAAAAAAAGCCAAATTATGTAAAAGTTTTGAAAATCATACTTTTTTAATAGATGTATTTATATACATGTGTGAGTTAAAGAACAACACGGTAATAAGAATCGTGGCATGCAGTCACCATGATTACTGCGGAAATGTTTAATAAATAAACAATAATACCATGGTTACAGTAATAATGGGATTGGTAAATACTGCGCTGGTGGTAGCAGGTGTTAAATAAGATAGTTAAGAAACACAAAATATAACTACCACTATCAAGTTCCTTCTGCATGGCATGAAATATTATGTTATTTCTGCATTGTTTGAACAAAGAATCGGTATGCATAACAATATAATTAAATCATAAACAGTTTTAATTTATAAAAAAATGTTATTTTATAAAATGTTAATTTATAAATAAATTCATTAAAAAAATGGTTTAAATAAAAGATTTTTATCAATGAATTATTATTTGTGTACAATTTTTTTTAAAAAAGTAAGAAAAAAAACTGCTGTCCAGATCCAAACATCTAACTTAACATCTAGGGTACCTCAAGGTTCTTGGTCCTATATTATTTCTAATCTTAATTAATGATCTTTCTGACAATCTTACATTTAAAGTGACTATTTGTTGACAAATCAAATTTATGATCTTGCCTTGACAAGGCAAGTAATCTTGAATCTGATCTCTCTTCTGTTTAGCTTGGGGCTCGTAGTGGCATATGAATATTAAAAAAACTCATTTATTTACTGCAAACATCACAATACTGTCTCCATTCCTATATTAGTGAATGACAACATTCTCACTGAGTCCTCTTCTTTACATCTTCTTGGATTATGGTTCACTATTGACCTCTCATGGAAACCATATAAACAATCAATTGCAAAGTTAGCATCTGCTAAGGTTGCCAAAGCTTGAGCCTCTCTCCCATCATCATAAAGTTGGATCTTTTTCTCTTCTTTATAATGATCTTGTGATGAGGTTGTATTATAAAAATCTGGAGAACATTTCCAAAAAAAAAAAATCTGGAATTTATTTCTCTTTTATTTGTCTTTATATAGCTTTAAGCTGATGGCTTTCTCCATTTTTTGAAACTTATGTTAATTTTTGTATGGATAATAAAGTTTATTTATCTAGCCTTTTTTTCTCGCACTTTAATTCTTTGGAACTCTCTCCTATCTTCATGTTTTCCTTGTTTTCTTGTGTCAATCGTTTCCTTGCTCTTTAACTCTTTGTTTTCTAGTAACTCCCAACTTAAAAGTGGTTACTTGCACTTTATAAATACCCCCTGCCCCCTTTTTTTTATTAATTAAAAAATTTTTAGTAATAATAATTATACTAATAATTAAATTAATAATAATAACTAAAAAAAGTTTTTTTTAATAATTAAAAAAATTTTATTAATTAAAAAATAATTTTTAAATTAAAGCGTGCATTTTTTAAAGTTGATCATACATTACTTTATTGAACGCTTTTTGCAGATACCTCCTCCCCCTAATCTCCATAACATCCTAAAGCCTTTGGTTTTGGAACTGGATCCCAACTTAAATAACACATGGGTATGTGTGTATGGTCCAGAAGTTAATGCGAGCGATATCATGTTGGAAACTGGAGATCAAATTTCAGACAAGTAATTGTTTACTTTTAAGTTTTAAAAGTCATAGTTTACTTTTTATTTTTGAAAGTCATAATTTTTTATTTTTGAATGTCATAATTTTTTATTTTTGAAAATCATAATTTACTTTTTATTTTTGAAAGTATAATTTACTTTTTATTTTTGAAAGTCAAAATTTACTTTTTATTTATGAAATTTGTTTTAATGACAAATCAAATAAAAATAAACTTTACTTTGGGCAGGCATTTTTTTCAGGCATTCCTCTTTAGTAAGTCCATAAAAAAATGAGTCTAATGCAATTTAAGTAATATTAAAAACAAAGCCTAAAACTCAGATCCGGAAACTACCGGGGGCTACCCCACACCCATATAAAATGAGAGGGGGGGGGGGCTAACAAATTTAGGAACCCCTTTTCAAAATTAGGGACTTTTTTTTAGCAATACCTTGCGTAAAATTTTTTTAAGATTTTTGGGCACTAATGTTTGTTTTTTTTTGAGAAAGGGGAAAGGGGTTGGGAAGGCCTCCTAACCATTAGTCATGGCAATGCTAAAACCTGATTTTTGTGTATTCAAAAAAGAGGTTACCTAAAATAGAAGTCCCCATTACTTAGGGGCAGTGTATAAAGGGTGGCATGTTTGTGCATAGAGGGACACTATACCCCCGACTTCCCTATACCATACATCCTTTTGTTGGCAATCTAGGACCTTTGGTCAGAAAATTAACTTTTCTATTTTTTAGCTGGTGAATTAAGGACAACCATGATACAGTATGGTTTTATTATTTTTTTTTAAGTTGTTAGTTATTCAAAAACATTTAGTTATTAGCAAGTACTTGTTAATTGTGATAAATTAGAAAAACAAACATTACTAAGGAATTTTCTGTTAATTTGTGTGTACATACTTTTTAATTGAACCCATCTCCCCCCCCCCCCCATACACTTTTTAATAATCATCTATACTTTTTTCTTAATTCATTGATTGCGTTGTTTTATTTATTGTTTTTTAATATTGGATTTTTTGTTACAACCCTCACAAAAACTAAAAAAAAACATAATAATGGTTGTAAAGCTTCAAGTAAAAACTATTAAAGTAAGCATATAATATGTAAGCATGTATATCATATGTGCTAAATACACACACCAAATGATTTTTTTTTAACCAAGCCACTCGCTGCATTAAGTCTGACAAAGTTGTTTTGTTCAGAAGTGGTGAAAAACAAACATTATGACTGTCACGCTAGGTGACAGGTGAGTTAATTTTTGAAAAAAGTTTAAGACTTTAATGGTGTAACTTTTGCTTACTAAATTATATGATGGTGTATTACATTTCTGGAAAGTTTCAACTCATTTCCATTTTTGGTTCATTTTAAACAGCTTAAAGAGTGTCAAATGTTATGACCATAACTCTTGCGGAATTGCCCATATATATATATATATATATATATATATATATATATATATATATATATATATATATATATATATATATATATATATATATATATATATATATATATATATATATATATATATATATATATATATATATATATATATATATATATATACTAGCTGTCATGACCCGTAAAATACGGGTCTTTAGGATATTGATGCACACTTTATCCGCGTGCTTACAGCTCATAAGAACTATTATCCGGTTTATAACGCAAGAAAATCTCAATCAAATGAAAACATTAAAAAGAAAACTTTTAATGTCCTAGATACAAAGATTAAACTTATTGATTGCGTAAACACTAACTTAAACATAAATGGCATTTGCGAGACACTTCTTGCAACGAAAAAACAAAATTTTGAAATTTGTGAACGATTTTTTTTCTCTCGTTAGCGAAGTTGGTTCTGTGTCAAAATGCGAGGATCAAACTTTTGATTAATATCTTTACATATGTTGTCTATATACAATATCTATAAAACTTTATAAGTATTTGAATTTGTTTTATAAAAAATCTAAAAAAAATTAAAACAGTAGTCGCCAACGGTAGGACTTGAACCACAGCAGCTATGTTCCAAAGCCCAGCGCGCTAGCCACTCGACTAAGCTGATACATCAAGTATAATTATGCGGTAGTGGTGTAGTGGTAGAGCGCTCGCTTTATAAACGAGTGGTTCCGAGTTCGATCCCCACCACGTCCCTGGTAGTACCGCGCTCAACTCGTTTCTCCGCGCAGCGGCCTTGCTCGTCAAGGTTCGTGTTTCGGAGTTATAGAGTTGAGAGAGGGTTATAACCACAAATAAGTAGCCTCCTCGTCTGTAGTGGCCTTCTCGGCCTTGAGGAGGTGAATTAAAATAAAAAAAAAAAAAAAAAAAAAAAAAAAAATGATTCAAAATTATATAAAAATTGTTTTTAAGGGATATAAATGCAAAAGATTAGAAATCAAGATGAGGTTGAAAAAATGCAGTTCTTAAGTGAAAATCAAACTGTAGAACTTGATATATGTTTAAGCATGTTTTAACATTACATAACATGAAGTCTAGGTACGTACGATATAAGTTTCACGTTTGCTCACGTTTTCTTATAAAGCAAAGGTGAGACTCTTTCTCGTCACTACCTCAGACGCAATGGTTGCCAAGAGTATCGTGTCAAACAGGCTCGAAAGCGCACTACTACTACTATTAAGTTCAGTATTATTAAAGATATATATATAAATTTCTCTAACTATTAAAAATATGAATAAAGTACCTAAAATATAAAGAAAATTGATGCAAAAAAAAACTGTATGACACTAAGATCCATTATTCCAGGATTACTAAAACTCATATTTTTTATCTCAGAATTTAGGTTCTAGAGACTTTTGAAAAATCTTTAAAAATGTTATTAACAAAAACAAGTCTATAAATCATCTATTCTATGATGATGCTATCATCACTTCTTTAACCAAAAATGCATTGCATGGATTGTCATTCAGAAGTCACATCCTTTTACAGAAACTGTTACTTCATGTTCAAAAAACTTTTATTCATCTAGATTTTTTTCTCTTACATTAGTGCTTTCAAATTCTTTAGTTATTAATAAATTATGAAACTAATTAGTATAAATAGTAGATAAAGTACAAATACATTTCTATAATAAATTAAAATTACTTTATCAGCATTTTTTTCAAAATTTTGGTATTAACCACTGTGCATTTTCTAAAACATTAAAACTGAAGTAGTCATATTTATTTGATTAAATAACATTTCTAGGAGGATATCAATTTAGAAGATCAAGATCCATGTAAAATATGTTAGCTGTGAAAATTAAACAATTACAATTAAAGTTTTTTTTAAAAAAAAAGTATGAACAAATATACCCAGTATATTTGATCAAACTTTCTCCATATAATCCTGCCACATATTATATATATTTAATAGCCTGGCTATTAAACTGCAACCTTCATTAAAAAAAAAACTACTTTGTAGAACTATTACAAACTAAAAAAAATCTACATTGTAAAACTATTACTAATTAAAATTTTTTGTTTTAAAGATTAGTAGCATATAAACCCATATGTTTAATCATATAAACATGCTCATAAAAACCATAACTAGTAATTGGTAAAACGCTTACACATCATGTGTTGGTGATACAAGCACTTCATTTAAACCAGTTGTGGTTGATGTGCGCCTGCCAATTACCTATTTTGAAAAAAATATATATTTAAATTTTGTTTAAATAAAAAACAACATTGTTAATAGTACTTAAATTTTCATTCCATACACGGCAATCATCAGGTATTAAATACAAAAAAAAAATGTTGAAAAAACCATTTAAAAAACAAAAGCTTTTACAAATGAATTAAAAGTTACTGTAGAACGTCTTCTGACGTAATAAAAGATGTAACTATTTAGTCTCTAGTATCAAAAGAGGACAGTAGAAATTTGTTGGAATGTAGACACTTATATAATATTTCATCTTTTTTATTGAGCAGGTTGTTTTCTTTGTGATATAAAAAGATAAATTTCTCATGAAGGCAGAGATTACAAAATTTTGATGTTGTTTTAATGTGTTTACAGCATTTTAAAATTTTTCACTTTATTGTATGTTTCTCCAAATCTCCTTAGAAAGCTCGCTATCTGTATTTCGCAGCATTAAAAGATTTTAAATGATTTGAATATCTAAGTTTGAATGGTGTCTCGCTGATACCAAAATATATTTTTTCTTTTTCTTTAGGATTAGGATTTTTATCAATCACAGTAGCTTGATAAACAATATTACTTAATAAACACTGATTGTTCGATGGGCAAGCAGTCTTTGTAATGCAATTACAAGTTCTTGCATTCACATTTGTATCACTGTGTAAAATCTTGCAAAATTATGACCAAATAAATTAAATATAAACAGAAAAATACTAAGAAAATCAAAACGAAACAAAAGTTACAACAAACATTACAAACAAAACAAAAAA